CCAACTCTTGGGCTACTCTTTTATCAACGAATAGTGGGATTGACCATCACATTATAACGCCCCCATGGCTGAAAGGGCGAGCATGTTTGGTGGGACGGGGATTCGAACCCGCGACCCTCAGATTACGAGTCGAGCACGCTAACCACCTGGCCATGCTGGGCCTCCCTAGGGTTCTAAAGCAAAACATACTAAATCTGGTTGAGAACATATGCTGATTTATCCCCAGGTCCAGTCACAGAAAGTATTTACTGGTTCATTGGATAGTTATATTGTGTACTATTTTACCTTGTGTATGTGGGATTGCTATTCAACTGCACATAAAGCATAAACATTTCAAGATACCTGTTGTCCAATTTTTTTGATTGGTCAGATGTGATGTGTGTGAGTGTGTGGAACTCTGTGGAACATGTAAACAGTTTTGGCATTTTCAATTATTTTTAATTCAAAACAGTTTCTTTTATTTATGTAGCTCAACAAAATATTTATACCACTACTATAAGAACAGCTTTTATTTTGTTTTCTCAGAAAATAAAGTTTTTGTGTCCTAATTAATCTACAGACAGGGTCTTATCTCTCACTTCACCTGCAAAATCTCATCACACCTGTCCTTCCACTTAACAGGTTCACAAATTTCTTGTTATTACAAAGATAAGATAATTGTGCATTTGGTTTATCCTTTAACTACTACAGAATTACATAAAGGTCAACAAACACTAGTCAAATTAGATATTATTATTTGGTGAAAATAGCAGACTTACATATGGTGTGATTATATTACACTAATTTTCTAAGCCTACTTTTTTGTTTTTTAAATAAAAGTTTGTTTTAAAACTCTCTACAACAAAAAGCTCATTAGTGTAATATCAAGATGGCTGAAATGATTAATATGATTACAGTAGTAAGTACCAAACTGACCAATAAAGACATTAAACAAAATTTCCAGTTCATAACAACATTTACTGGGAATTACCAAACTTTTATCTCAAACAAATCCATTAATTTCTAAAATTGAACATTTACAAATTAGTGTTCAATCTAGGAAAACAATGTGCAACTTCAAACCTACATTTCAGTATATTTTGATAATATTTTTTTTCTCTAAACAGAATAAAACCTAAAATTAAGAATCATAAATAATCAAATAATTATAACTAAAAGTATTTAATTCTAGAATTATCAATGAAGTTGATATGGACTCATCAGCTTTTTCAGCACATTTTTCAAGACTTTTTATGTACTAAATTTCTTGTTGATCTATGACTTTGTTGGTTACAGAGTTCTTAATAACATAGGACTTTCACACACAAAAAAGTAAACAAAAATACCAACATTAAACCCACAAATTACTACTGGAGTCCCTTATATCTGTAACACAGAAAATGAATGATTTCACCCAATATTTTGAGTCAGTTATTTACACTAATTGTTGGAATATGCAAAAATATAAACTACCCATCAGAAGTGAAAGATGCAAAAAAAAAAATCTCATTTTGTTACATATGCACCAGTTATTGTATAGGAAGATCCAGCTGTAGTGGCCTTGATTAAAGAGTTTAATACATCATTGAATACTTTTGGTTGCCAAAATCAAATTAAATTTATGCAACCTAAACTCTGTAATTAACAAGTATCTATGTGATGACAACAATTCAATACAATGAAACCTCATTAAAATTACCTCTAAAATCACACTTAAAGTTCCAATCATTCTCTTTCCTGTTCCATAAAAATGCTCTTCCTTTTGAACTTCTTGTAACATTGCTAAAACAAAATCTTTGTCATAAAGATTTGCTGCCCAAATAGGTCCACCAATCTATTAAATGAGAGAAAATACTGACAGAAATTAACAGGAGCACCAATAATAATTCATGACAACGTAAACATATCTCTAAACTAGAAAACTGAATGCAGTTGATAAAATACACACACTAAAGTATGTGGCACATGAAATATGAAATTTTCCATAGAGGGTGCAAATTAAAAGCTTAGGTTATCAACAACTCATTACTGGCAAAAGAACTTAACAAAAGATAGAGGAAGTGTAGATAGAAAATTAAAATTCCAAAAAAAAAAATCCTAAAAGAATTAAAAAAGTAATTATTTTTAAATGATCTCTTACCTCCTCCAAAATATGAGATCTATAATTACTCCACACGAGTATGTGTAAGATTGTATTTGTTTCTTCTCAATACAAGCTAAATATGTATATCAGAAGTAATGTCTTTTAAGTACTGTCTAGTGTGCCAAATTTCATGGTAAATAATGATTCTTAGCCGTGTCGCTAATGTAAATCTGTATTTCAGAGTTTTTACGTACATGATGTTTGGCTAGCAGGCTTTAAAGTGTGACATGTATATTTGACCTTAAGCATATTGGCACATAACACTAGTGTATTTCAAATAGGAACAAACAATGGAATAAAGACTAAATGATGATTTTACTTCATTAGTATATGATTTGTGTGTGTGCACACTCATGCACACAAACACACACACACACATATATAGTAGTGGAAATAATTATAGAAACACACAAGTGATGCACATACAGGAGTCACCAACAAAAAGTAATGACAACTAGGTGGTGAATTTGTTAATTGTACAAATAATTATCTCAGAAAATACAAAAGAAAAGCAAATAAGTTATACAATGAAAAATCTCACACGAATCTTCTTGATCATTTAACAAAAAGAATTCAACTGTAAAGTAAAAATTAACTTTCTGGAACAAAACAGTAAAAGAAAATAGAAAAAAGTAGAAATTAAATGATTGAACCACTAACCCTTTCATCCCGGGCAGGTTAAAGTTCACATCATGACATTTTCGAGAATTATTTTCAATTTTTTATTATTACTTACATCAATGAAACTGGCATCAAAACAAAGTTCATAATTGAAATTTTAATATTATATATGTCTTAATTCTTTATTTCAAAGGAAATATCAAGAAAAAATACTAAATACAAATTTTTGTGTTTCACCTAACATGTGCTCTTGTCTTATTGCTCAGTTTACGATTTATTATGCCTACTGTATAACATGTACAGTGGCAAACAAATTAGATACTTGAATATGAGATATCGACAAGTTAAATATAAAATAAGAACCTCCCACCTCTATGATTTGCTAAGATGTCAATATTTTTAGTAAATCTACTAAAGTGGCTCCTCCCACTACTCTTTTCTTTTGAAACCTCTTGTCTAGTCCCACCTACTACTAATTAGCACGTATTTATAACCAATAGAAAGAGCAGTTACCCCTCTATATAAATCTGACAGTCGTTTGTAAACAGCTTCAAGGAGAAACTAATAATTGTACCAAAATTGTTAAAGTTTGATGACTAAGTCGTTGCTCTGAATAGGAATGGGATTTTTTGTAACTCACATATAGCTTATTTAGAGATAAATTACATGGATTTTGTACTAATACAGTATCTTGATAATTTTTTGTTTTTCTAAAATTTATATTTGAAACTTGCAAGAATGAATATCTCTTCACCCTCTACTCAGAAGAATATATTAGGCTTAGCACATGCAACACACAAGCTCAACATTTCGTAACATAGTAAGTACTTGAAATGTTTGTTTTTTAGTGTATTTTTAATTTACTGTTCTATGTTTAAGAAAATAACTAAAATTTAACTATTTATTAAGTAAATAGTAATATATATATATATATATACACACACACACACACACACACACACATGTAATGTATGGTAGCTGCAATATCACTGTCTTTTGCAAAATACTTGTATTACAGTAAGAGGTTTGTATTTTGTAGGCCAATACAGAGTTGTGCCTACTGACATGAAATAAAACCAATTTATACAACATTAGAAACTTGACAACTTAAAAAAACAGGTTTATTCATAACATTTAGAAAGGTAAGATATTTTACAAGTGTTGGAGAAATAATGTTATGCTTTATAAAGAAGACCAGACTTAAAAGGCTTGTGAAACTAAAACTGAAACTAAACGAGTGCAATAGATAGTACTGGAACCTGAGATTTATTGGTTGATGAATAGATGTGCAGAAAAGGAGAATAGGATTTTATAAGCATGTGCTCAAATAACATCTTCATACACCCATTCCACTAAATTCCAAACATCCCAAAAGGATTATCAATATTTAAAGAATCATAATGTTTATTGAATCAGCACTGAACCATATAATAATGACAGATTCAAAGTACAGTTCTATTACTCTGGAGAATTCTTGTTGTAAATATTGGAGGACACATACATAAGCTGATAAATTCTACATTCTGTTGTCAGCATAAACATTTTCACCAATTAAAAGTGCATTACTCTGAATTTTACAAGAAAACATGTAGGATATATAATCCGATACATTAGACATCCTGTTCTCGGAGCAGGGGTCAAGTTGGCTATCTCTTTGTTCGTGCTTTGTTACTTTCCAGGATATCATATTAAAGTGTCACGTAAACAGTCTACTGATATAAGTAGCAATTTACTACTTTATTTTCAGCTGGGTTCTACTTTAATCATTGTCAGTATAACAAACACATAAAACTTTTAGCAGTTCAAACCTTCAAGAGAAGTCTTTTAAATCTTTGTGGCCAATAATAAAGAAAAAAAGGCACAGCTACTCATTTTACTTCTAATATTACAACTTTTCTTTTCATTACACTTTGATGATTTGTCTAGAAGCTGAAGAATGAAATATGTCATTCAGGTAAAGGAAATAACAGATTAAATATAAAGTTTTACTGAAAAATAAAAAGATTCATATGTATTTAGGAGATTTTAGAGGTTACACAAATGAAATTTGAGACTTTGGAGACAATGAAAAGATTTTTAACCTCAACATGAAAATACCCTTGTACTCGGACCATATTACAAGTTATAGTATGGAAACTACAATAAGTACAAAATGGTTACGAAGTCGGTCAATTCAACCAAATCTATGTGGGGAGAGTTAACAACATGTTAAAAAAACCTACTGGCTGATCAGAACAGTTTGCATACATAAACTATTTCTGCATCCTGATTAGTTTTGTTCTTATAAAAATGTTTCGTCAGAAATTTCCTGAATTATTAAATGACAGGGAAGCATTGCTGTTCTTTTTTTTATAATTTTATGTATGTGTTTTATAAAAATAATTGTTGGAATTAAGTCTTCAAAACCAGTTGACATCAAGGAATGCAAAGTGAACCAACAGTTTTAAATTTTGGAGATTATTTCCATCTGTACACATGTAGGATTAAAAAAAAAAGAGCACATTTTTCAGTAAAATCCCATTGAGCATGTTATATTAAAATGATTTGGAGCGTCACCATATCATTACAGTCCATGTTGCCACATCCAATCATACTTTATCTGATGACTATGCATCTCAAAAACAGACTTACAGCACAGTTGTAATAGTAATAGATTGAAATGCTAATTTTGATTTGTTTATTATTCTCAGAAGTCATGAGACTAATAGATTAATCTTAACAACCATGAATTAATCAAAAACAAATGAGAAATTATAATGGCAATATTTCAACTACTTGGACAGTTGGAACAATAAGAAACACTAATTGGAAATAATTGATTGTTCTATGTGACACTAACTGATTTAATCAATTATACTGATTAATGGAGTTAACTGCCTAGCTCCAGTTGCAGGTTTATTTATGGATGGTCCTGGTGTCCGATATTGGTCCACATTACTTTGTTTTTCAACCTCATTAAGTATAATGGACAGCTCCATCATGGAAATTCTAAATTCCTGATCTAATAACATCTTTATGATCTGAGTGTATGAATATTTTACATCTGAATGGGCTGCTAAATACACTTCCCAAAAGGGATCAATTTTCAATGGCATCACACTAACTACAGAATGATAAACAATGTCAAAATGTAGTTCTGATGTATTCTACTCCACTGCAACTTTATATCAACTGTGGTTGTCACATGATTTGGTGATTTACATATTCAAAATCATTTTAAGCTTTAATATAAGATATTCAACCCTCTGTATAAATGCAAGTAACCACTAATCTGTGAAATAGTTATGCAATCAATTGTATAATCAGTATTTAATATAAAGTTGCAAGTACCTGATGTCTGTGTTGACAATGTGAACAAAGCATATCTACCGGTGGTCCATCTCCAGGAGAAAACTTTAAACTGAAATATTACACAAGTGAGTGTATAAGTAGAATAAAAATGAACAATATATCAAAAACACCTGTAATGCTGGAATAGTTCACGATTTGTATGAAAATAAATAAAAAAATAAGTAATTTTGTGCCAAAGAAAAACTTTAGTTATCAGTTTTTATAACTTTTATTCAAACATGTTATCCCCATAATAATAATAAGTCTATTGAAGTAATATAATAAAACAATTTACCTTTTTTCCTTCTGTATGCATTTTCCTAAAGGTTGAAGGTTGTATGTTTCACAGCCAGTGCAAAGGTACACCATAGCAAGCTTGCTAACATAAATATTATGGAAAACTTTTGTAAAACAAATGATCTGAACTTTGAATGAATTAAACATAAAAAATAATAATTAAAGACAGAAATCTTGATAAATATGTACTATTATTGGTGAAAGTACCCGGCTTCGCTCAGGTTATTAAGTTGATAGTGTGTGTGTTCTGAATCCATTTTTTGTTGCTAAGTGACAGGACATAAAAGCCATTGTTGGAATGCACTGTTACCAAAATGTTATATTAGAAGTTGTTATATAAGGAACCATTTCTTTTCTGTATGTTTTTTTGCTAGCTTGCATCATTAAAAAGATGCACACATACATGTGAGCACACACATGGATAAGATAAGTAATAATACCCAGGTGCATACCCTCAGAGTCCACTTAGTATGGTTGCAAAATTTCAGGTTTCTAGGTTCTTTCTTCTTGGAGCTATGGTGGTCACATTTCTTTTTTATATGGTTTTTCACTAGCTTTCCTCATAAAAAGATGTGCAAACACATAGATAAATAATAATACCAAGTTGCACACCCTCAGGGTCCACTTAGTATGTGTGCAAAATTTCAGGTTTCGAGGTTCTTTCCTCTTAGAGCTATTGTGGTCACACACAAAGATGCCCTTTTATTATCATAGATTCAGCTTTTACACAACATTAAACTAACCAGACATGATCAAGACCACCCCCCCACCCCCGGCTCAGCAGTAAGTTTGAAGGCTTATAATAGTAAACATTGAGTTTTGACACCCTGATAGGCACAGCACAGATATCCCATTGTGTAGCTTTGTGCTTAACTGCAAAACAAACAGGTATGATCAACATGGTGATACAGTTAGAATTTCTACTTTGCTACAACACTAATTATTGAATGATCCACAAAAATCATCAAATATCATAACAAATAAAAAAATAAATATGACATTTATATTAAAGATATTATTAGCTTTTTAGTTGCTAATGGAGACAATCGCTGACAAAGACACATAACACTATCATGTAAGTGTCTGAAAAGAAAACAACTTAATAATATTAATAGTGGCTACTTTTAAAGGTATACCACATAAGATCTTTATGTATCAATAAAGAACTTTTACTCAGTATCCTATAAAACATTTTGTAATTCAATGCAATATTTCAATACTGAAAAACAGAAATATTCATAAGACTAAAGAAAGGTATTTGAAACTCCTTGAGAGCAAATAAATATGAACAACTTAAGACATGATAATGTCCCATTTTCTTTCTGATATTTTTTGTAAAAGCAGTCATTTAAATTTTTTTTCTTTGTTTATCAGTTTTAAAGTCTTAACAATACAACAATACTTTTATTAGTTATATAAGGATTAGTAAGAAGCTTTTTCTTAAAGAGATTATGGAATTATTTAAGAAGTTAAAGCTATGGTACAATATAAAAAATGAAAAATTGAAACATACACAAAGAAATATCAAAACCATGGTGAAACAATGAGTCATTTAGCACTGTTGTTTTATTTATACTGGATCTTAATTTTTTCCTCTATATTTTGTTCTAATATTTCACATATAATAAAAACAAAAGAAACTTCATTTATAGAACTTCAACCCTGCAAAAAAAAAAGAAAGAAAGAAAGAGATACAATGGCAGAATAACAATGGCAAATAGCATCTTTTTGGGGACCCAGTTCAATTAAACAGAATGAAATGGGTAGGGCTAGGATTAAGTGTTTTTAACTGATAAAACATGAGACAGAATAAGCAAAGCCACCTTTTAAATTACTATAATAAACGGCCAATAAATTATTACAAACTTGTTTTATTTCTTTGAAGATATTCATTATCATGACTATGAATTCACCTTACCTTGTGCTCTGTTTGACTATGGATGGACTGGTATAGATCTTAACAAAAACTCGTACATAAAAGTCTGCACTCAAGGACAGCACAGGTACAATGTACCGACCATATCGATTTGCATGGCTTTCAATGCTTTGTAAAACAATTCGTAATGCCTAAAATTTTTAAGATGTTGGCTTGCATGAAGAAGTAATTTTACTCAATGATTTTAAAATAATCAAAAATTCAAAAATACATTTTAACTACCACAAAACTATATTTCTGTAATGCAATATAAAGCTTCAGATTTTTCAAAATATTCCTTTTTGACTGACTATGGAAGCTTTTGTTAAAATAGAAACATTATTTGAAACTTAAAATATTTTATGAAACAACCATATCACAATTATTTACTACTTTAACACACTCTACTATATTAATATTAACTATCTATTATAATAATAGTCAGTTTTTGTCTGTTCTGAAAATGCATATGTACTTTACTATCTAAATGCACGTGTGCACACACTTCTCTTCAAAATGTAAATATACCTAAGTAGACATTTTGTACAACATATAAAAATCTAATCCAACTTTTTAAAAAGGTCTAACATTAGGTCGTAGAATAACATTACAAGTTGCAGTGTTAATTTATCTCTTTAACAAATATATGTTGTACTTAATAAAGGCTTAGCTAATTTTAGGCCTAAAACAAGTGCATTTATAGATTTCAGCATCTGTGATTAGAATTCTTTTGTATTATTCTAGAAATCTTGTATTTAAAGAAGTACTGTTGCAATAAAGATATTAGTTTGACCACAAATGTTTGTGGGTCTCTGCAAGTATTTACATAAAACCTGAAGTAAAATTCACTACTAACTAGACTGCAAGCCCTGATGATGCTCAGCAGCACTGATAAAACTGGCGAGTTACTAAGACTGAAGCTACTCATGTATTAAAAGTAGCAAACACACTATTCAAACAATATTATTTATCAAGTAATAAGTGGCAAACATTTTTTTAACAGCTTCAGTCTTACTAGATAAATTATGTAAGGTTCACTAGAAACATCAAGGACATTTGATAGCTGTGGTGCAAAGGACAGACTATCTACAGTAATTTTACCTACACAACATCCTAAATTAAAAATTTGATGGACACCAAAAATTATGCTTCTGATAAGGAAATCCTCAGAGAAGAGTTAAAAAGATGGGTAAGTTTGATTACTTGGTATTCACATTCTCACCTTATTACAATCCCACTTATACTGTGTAATTGCTTTAGAAAATTTGATATAAAGAAATAAAAACAAAATTGGTGAGAACAACTTAAATATACAACTTTTGGAGGTTATAGTCTTATGAGCTTCAAAGAAAATCAAAAGATGATATATATATATAGACACACACAAGTTTCTGCTGTACAAGATATTAGATAAGTACTTAAAATTAATATGGAATTGTCTTGCACTAGACTTTAATGATCCTTAAAACAAAGCTAAGTTTGTTTCAATATTGTTTGACATTTTTGAATCCAACATCTGAAACTCATAAATATGCAACAAAAATTTAGTTAACTTAAAATGTTTTTTGATTTCTTAAAATGAAGTTTCCTAAAACAATTATCATAGACACACATTCCAGAAATGTCAGAAAAATAAAATTTTTTGTATAATAAATGGAAAATTCAGTTTGTATATAGATTGACATAATACAAAAAACAACAACCTTAAAATAACCCTTAAGGTAGCATTGATACCTTAATACAAACAATGTCACATATAAATAATCTTTACTCAGACATGGTTGTTAAGGAATGGTATTAAGTATATTTCTAGGGTTAAATCAAAATATTAACAAATTTTGATCATTTGTACTACATAATTTCATTAAAATACATTATTACATTCTTGGTACAGTTTACACAGCTACATTCAGCATTGTAAGTTAATACTAAAATTGCAATTTTTTGCATGATTCGAGTCATCTTCAGCTCAGACAGTTTTATTTTTCTAACAGAGCAGTTGGCCTCTGGAATAGGTTGCCTTCATAAGTTGTGGAAGCAGTAAATTTAAGGGATTAATGATAAGGGTTAGTTTTGAGGGGTTTCTTTTTTTTACATTTAATTTATTGAATGGGATAGCTTAGATGGACCAACGGGTTCCTGTTGTCCTTAAATTTTATGATCTGTGCTACCAAACCTTAAAAGAAAGATATAGAACTTGAATAACCTACCATTTCATGGCCACTTTTCATTTTTAATGATACAGCACCATATTTGGCTCGACAAGTCTCACTGCTGTTTCCACACAGAATTGCCATGTCAGTACATGTTATCATCAGTAACCCTAAAAATGTATATTTAATGCAAATAAATCTATTTACAGTACCTAATATAATTTTATCCAGAATGTACTACATATGCTTTTAATGAATAGTGTTTAAAACTGTACATGTTAATAGGGCATTTAAAATGTGATGGGTATTACCAAGTAGTTTACTAACACTATCAGTTATTATACAAATCAAAGAAATTTAAATATCTTTTAGTGGGAATTATACTGGAACTGAAAAGCAAATGCCATCTATCTCGAACTGACATTACAGTTCAATCGTATGTTCAATTAGTCATGGTTGATTAGAAAACAGTATTTTTGATGTTTAGGTATGAGAAAGAAAAACATAATTATTAATGCTGAGATTTCACTTTTTGTCGATAGGAGAGAGGCTTTCTTGTGGAAATTATCAGGTATAAATTGTCAGGATTGGGAAAGATATATGTTAACAAAATAAGTAGAAAACAGAATTAAAACTTTCCAATGTTTTTGAAATCTGAAATTAATATTTACTTATACCGAAACTTAATGTGTACTTATACAACAAGAAAATATCTTCATTTTTGTTAATATGCTTGTTAGAAGTATATAAGCCAAATTAAGGGTTTTAAAATATCTATGACAAAAAGCCAGAATACTGATACAATCATGTAATATATGTACAGACAAAGGAGATTAAAAAAAATTAACATTTCTAACCTCCATCACGAACTGCTTGGACAGCAGAATCCAAGAATGGAGCAGGACTGCCGTATGGATCTACATCAATAATGTGAAATCTTTTGTCATGGGAACGATGCTGATACATCAAAATCCTAACACAAATTCAAAATGTTTTCTTTTTATTACAGTTACCAAAGCCTCTTCCATGACACACAAGTTACATGACATATCCTTTATACTTTCGAATTGTAAAGTATGTAACAAACAAGACACAAAGTCAAAATGGTTAGAGGGGATGTTTCTAAATTACTCTTCAACAAATTATTTTGTAAATATTTCAAGTTACTTTATTAAAACTTTGATTATGTTGATATTTTCATACTATATTCTTGTACACTTTCAACCCTAAATAGACACATACTTTCAAAAGAAGGAAAGAAAAGTTACAAATGAAGTATATTCATAATCCTGAATGAAGTAAACTTCCTTCCTGAGATACAAAGCAAAACATTCTATTTAAATAAAGCTAATTTTATTCAGTGTTGTTTAATACATGCATGTTAACCCCCCATTATCTTCTCGTTACTTAAAAGTATACATTCATTTGATGAACCCTGTATATCAGATAATTATTCATACATCATGCGATATTAAGTGCAAGTTGTAGCCATCAGTATTTTGTACAGTTAAATTTATGTAGGTTAGTTTCAATTATTAAAGTAACAATGTATATGGAATTTGTTTTCTATATCATATAACAAAACCCAAAACAATGTTACATTTATGAAAAAATCATTCATCACAAATATATGTTTTTTTTCTTTAAATCCTCCAATCATCTAACATTATAAGAACTATATTTTTCTCTCATGCTTTTAAGTACTGGATTTTTTCTGGTTGTAAATTAGAGAATAAGAATGGTTTATAACTAGTGTACTTAACATTTCCTCATAATGATTAGTTTGCTGCAAGATCAAAGGAACTAATATGATCAGATCTTGTGGCCAAAGTCAAATCAAGCTCAAAACTGACTAAATACATAAACACATAACAGCAACAAAAAATTAAAGTCAGATGCATTTCCTTTACACAGGTTTAAAATAAATTATAACAGTTATTTTTTAAAAAGATCAGTATAAAAATGTTTTCAAGTAGAAATGCCAAAATACCCCAATGTACAATATTTTTTCTGATTTTTTTTATCATATTCTTAAAAGAAATATTAATAGTTATATCTGTAAAACTACAGCATACATACTTAAATACAATATTATACATACGCAGCTTCTTCCTTGCTTGGAACAACAATTTCTTCTACTTTATTATGCTTGATATTTCTTTTCATGCTTTCAACAGCTTGGTGGGAGAAGTCATTAGCAATAATACATGTCAAACAAGGTATTTCTTTGGCATATCGTACAGATCTCAAGCCAGATGCAGCTAGAGCCTCTAATACAGTTATTCCTTCCTAAAATATAAGATTATAAAAAACACTCTTAAAAACATTTAAGGAACTGAAATCCTTCTTGATAATGCTTTAAACTAATAACCATGTGGTACATTTGCAGGGACTTGTAGATACATTCAAGTTACAAATCCTGAGTTTGTAGCTTTTACAAAGAGAATTTCCATTACAAGTATGATTAATATGGTAATCAAGTGCTGGTAATCAAAGTGTATGTACAGATGTACTTTACATAAAATAACTTTAACAGGAATCAAAATCCATTTGAAGCTTCAAACTCAAATGCAATACTTAACAGAAAAATATTCCAGGTCATAAAATATTAAGTCCTACATGGAAAATGAGATCACAGGTTTAAGAAATAGTTAAATTCTGGAGAATCCTGTAAAATATTTGAAAATAGACATTTTCAAAGTTTGTGTGCTATTTTTACTTCTGCTGCAAACTAGAACTAAGTAAGGGTTAACACTGTCTACTGTCTATGTATATTATGTGATAAACTTTGTTGAAAGGGCTACACAAGTTTCTTCTGTACAAATTAGTAAGTTTTGATTTATAAAACTTCATAATGTCTTTTTCAATATAACATTTGGTATATTCAGTGCTTTGTGTGCATAGCTCAAAAATATAGTCCATTCAATCTATCCCCCAAACCTATAGATAACTTTTTAACCAAAAACGAATGTGCTACTTCTTGAAAATTGAATTAATTAATGTTATGGAAGCATTTTCTTTATATGTAGTTTTTAAGTCCACTATGGTTTCATTTTACATATTGATTGTAGCAAGATAAATATTTATAGGAATAACTTGTATCAGTGTATTGTTCTAAAATCCATACTTTCTCAAAACTGGACATTAATAAAAAAATACCTTTACTTTCACTTTTATTTATATTAAAAACAGAAAACTTGCAGCTTAAATTTGTTGGGTCTTTGTTATTACTGTTGTGTTTGTGTGTATGTGTATATATATATACACACAAATACAACAGTATATATACTGTATGATTTATTCTCTAAGGGACTTTTTAAAGAGTAGAAAGAGGGATACATTTTATTTACAGTTATGTCACTTGATGTTCATAATAATTGATACTCATTGCTCAGTCCAAAAATAACAGGATGATGAAAACTTTGTTACTTCAACTTAAAAGTTTAAGACATGTTTACCATTATTGTTGTTTTTATGGTAAAAAAATCTTAACCCTAATTGAGTGTTATTCAGTGGTAACTTACACTTAACTGTTTAAGTTATATTTAAACATATTTGTATAATCAGCTTGGTTAAAAGCTTGTACATAAATGTTTGTTTGTTTGTTAAAATTTTTCTTCCCTCCACAAAAATGTGAAACTTTTAAATAATTCTATGTTGTGCAATTTAATGAAAGTTAGCACAGTAAATCCTTGGACAAAAACTGACTGGATGTTATAAATGGGGTTAAGTCAAACTGGATTAATGTCATAAGTGAAGTACCTCAGAGCTCAGTATCAGGATCATTGTTGTTGTTTTTATTTTATTTACATCAATGACACAGATGAATGGAATGGCAATAAATTATTTAAGTTTGCTGATTATCTTAAATTTTTAGGTGTTGCTGGCTAAGAGGATGCTGCTGTTGCTGCTATACTAAAGGAGTTGAATTATTTGGTGAATTAGGTAAATAAGTGGCAGAAGGCTTTTAATTGTAATAAATGCAAGGTAATGCATGTAGGATATCACAATTTGAATTATAAGTATAATTTTGATAGGAATAACCTTAACAGTGTTATGGAAGAAAAATATCTTGGTATTCTGGTTGATCAGTTACTTAAGCCATCCAAGCAGCATGCTGTTGCTAGTAGCAGGACAAATAAGATTTTAGATTGTATCTACAAAAGTATTGAATAGAAGTCTAAAAAGGTTATAATGTCATTGTATAGGCTACATTTGGAGAACTGGGTTCAGTCTTGGCCTCTTTACCTTAAAGGGCATTGAATTGTTGGAAAGGGTTTAGAGGAGAGCTACTAGGACAATACCTGGAATAGAAAGGTTGCAATAGAAGGATATGTTAAGATCTCCAAGATTGTTTTCTCTTGAATAAAGAAGAGTTAAATGGAATCTGAGTGATGTGTTTAAGATTGTTAAGAGAATTGATAGTGTTAATGCATCACATTTTTGTACTTAATGGTGAAAATGGTAAGACTCTGGAACACAAATATAAATCTTGGTAGGGTAGAAGACATCTTCAGCTAAGACAGCTTTATATTTCTAACAGAGTGATTAGCCTTTGGAATGGATTGCCTTCAGATGTGGTAGATGAAGTTAATTCAAGGGAGTTTAAAGGAAGGTTTGATAAATATATGAGTAATAAGTGCTGACTTTGGGTGTTTTATTTGTATTTTAGAGTTCAGTACAGTGGATGGGGTAGCCTACATTAATTATTTCCGAACTATGTCGTAGCAAGTTGCTAGGGATGTCATGAGTGTTTTACCAAAGAAAAATTAATTTAGAACTTAAAAAACCCAAAAAAATGCATGTGGCAGCATGGGTGTTGTGCAAATCAAGGTAAGTGGGTTAGGGTGTCATCAGTAAAAAAACGTTTGGGAACCACTAACCTAGATGAACCAACAGGACTTTCATTGTCCTTAAATTATATATATATATATATGTATGTATCTAATTTACTTTTATTTCAAAAATATTGAAAAGAATGAAATATTCTCCAACTCAAAACTTAAAAAAAGAATTTGCACATGTTTTTGTTGGATTTCTTTTTTGGATAATGACAAGATTTATAATTAATTGTACTCAGCAGCTGAACTAATAACAAGCTGTACCTTTAAAAAAAAAGGCTGACTGCCTCTTTATGTTCAAAATTTACATGTTTAGTTAATATCAAGAAATAAATATATATATATTGTTTTTAATAAATGCTATGACTCATACACAATGGCTCAGCTAGACCTCATTTTTCTTTATCAACTGCATCAGACTCAGCCTATATGTCTATACAAGTATATGTTTTAAACTTAGCTTGTTAGGCTTAAGTTCTACAGTGATTTCATTTTTTTCATGTAAAAAAAGGAAAATAATATATATATATATATATTTTATGTGAACAGCCTTTTTAATACTTCAAGTATTTTTGACAGTGAAGTGGAACACCATACAAGTAACTTGCCTTTGGCTTTTGTATACCACCACATTCTTTTTCAGACTTGTCTACTTTAATTCCACTTTTGTTAGCAGTATTCTGCATGCATGCTTCCAAATAACTTTTTATAACACCAATACTATAAAGGAAAAATATACAGAATTATATAAAATGATTAACATAATTAACCATTTATAGTAAATCACCACCTTACTTAGAAGCAAAATATTTATAAACACACCATACTTATATTAATCTTCACACAGCCACAAGTTTTCACATAGTAAAAATCTAGACTTGCCAAATTTTTGGGAGAGAAATACCATGCTCACCTATCACATCTTTCCTTTCACAAATTGCCAATAGTTCTCTCTGACATTTTATACTATATTATTTATAATCAATAGAAAGCAAAAGTTTAAATCTATCAGATTATGTATTATATTACATTATTTTTGTGCGGAAAATTGTCTATTTTGCCTCCAGTGCAAAATTTTTTCTCACACCGACAATCCTAGCTGAATTTTTCAAGGCTCTTATCACATACTTAGAAGTCAGAAAAATTATGATAGTCATAGAACATTGTTTGCTTTGTGTGTGTTATTATTCTGTGTTCTTAGGTGCATTATTTAATAAAATAAAAAAATATTTAGCTTAGTAGCAAGTTAATTTAAATTTTGTTGACAAAAAAAAGGGGAACACAGGTAAGTACTATATTTCTTCTTTTTCATGTGTATTCTTTAATTATTATCCTAAATGTAACTAAACTGTAAAAATTAGAAACATATCAGGTTAGAATAGGTAAGATAATGAGAAATAATAATAACAATAAAATATTTTCATGAAGTATGCTCTCGTACCTCACATAATTCAATATGGTAATGTGAGAAGCTCATTTACTGAATGAACTAAAGTGTTTTATATTTGCAAGCAGCAAAAATTTGAAGAAGGTTTATTCTGTTGTTTTTGAGAATATATGTGATTCCGCGAGCCTCCCAGCAAATCTAGTTGGGATGGCAAGTCTATATAAATCTGGAAACATTGTCATTCCACAGTAATGTTATACATGTAGATATATATTGCTTTATGCTTTTTAAAAGACAGTTGAATTGCTCAATGTTCATACAATACCAGTTACTGGTAAAAAGTTGAGTTAATCACAAAAATATATGTGGTCAAAGACTTTACTAGCCTGGATCACAATGACTTGATACACTAGTCATGTAACTGAATGCCTCTAGGTACATCAGCAATAACTTCTCTGTGGTAATCTTAAAGTAACTAAACCACTCATATACCAAAGTATTTTCTGCAATAACAAAACTTAAAACAGGTAAAGAAAATTTTATAGATTATACAGACACCAGCAAGCATGCTTACATTAAATTCAAGGATAAACTATTTACATCATTTATATGTAAAAAGAAGAGCAAAACCTTTAAAACAACACACTACAAGATTTGCATTTTACAGCCTGCTCTAGAATGACATCCATTTGCTAAGAAAGAAAACAATAATTTAGCAGGGGAAAATGTTATCCAGTTTTCACAAAGGCTTCCCCATGCTATAATTGTTTTTGGAATGTGGTTACATCTTCCTCTTCTTTGATCAATAGTAGCACATTGCTTTAAATTTCCATTTAACAATTTCACTGATTCTGGATAAGAAGGTATGATATGCCCTCTCAAAAATTGGCAAACTGCATTCTGTTATTATTATTAAATTACATAACATAAAACTTACATGACAATAAGAGACCTGTTGACCCTCTATGGATCTCACATTTATTAAGCCTTCTCTAAAATGTATTGCATCAACCACATCTGAAAATAACCTATATTTCACAAGCCAACCATCCTGTTAGAAGAGTAACATTGTCTTAACCAAAGATGACTCTTACCCTGACAAAATGTATATTTGTATTCTCTTGTCCTACCATTCTCACTATTAAATATGAAAAAATGATGAAGCATCAATACTATCAATTCCCTTGATAATCTTGAACTCTTCAATTAGATCCCCTCTAAATCTTCTTTTTGTAAGAGAAAATAATTTCAGAGATGTTAACCTTTCCATCCCTGAGGCATAACCAATGACCTGTACATTGAAATAATAATATCTTTAGACTCTTATTGAATATTTCTGTAAATATAACACAAAAGCCTATTTGTCCTACTTCTAGCATAATGCTTGGGTGGCTCAAGAGACTGACCAACCAAAACAACAAAATCATTTTCTTCCACAACAGTTTAAATTATTCCCATCAAAATTACTGATAATTTAAATTATGATAACCCACATGCACTAATTTTAATGTTTACTGATATTTCATCTTTAACTAGTGGATATTTATTTTACTACTCCTGAGAGATCACAATCAGCTATAAATTAATTTCCTTTGCTACAAAGATTTCAAATTCCATATATTCCATTCAAATACTGTGTATGTACACTACAGATATTATTATTATTATACACATAATTTGATGCATTAGGAGAGGATGTACTATACCTTCTTCCACAATCAGCAAATGTTAATGGTAAATGTAAAATTGAATTATACATATATAACCAATGTCATCTAATAATCAGACTACAGGTATCTATTTTCCAGTCTAACAAAATGCTTGAAACTTACCATTCAACAATTTCATTAACTCTCTTTGAAATCATACGAGATGTCCTTTAACAAATTAAATGTATGAAATATATATATTATACATAAGATGTTTGAAATGAATACATGTAAATCTTTGAAATAATTGTACAACAGAAAATAAATAACACTTTGTGTGATATCTTAACACTAAACAGGATCTGCAATACATTCTCACAAAGTCAACAAAATTGTTAAGCACTTAATTTTAAATATTCATAGACAGTGAGGTGGATGCATTATGGTCTAATTGTTGCACGAGCCCAAGTGAAAAAGACTTTAGTACCTACATCTCCAGAAATACTTCAACAGTAAAAAGGAGGGAGGCCTGGTGTCTAAAACTCTCTTTTCAACTACAGTAACAAACTTGGGTCCAAAAATAAACACATCATGAATGTATACAAAATTCTGTAATTAAATAACATATAATTAATCTTCATGATTTATAGATGTACAGCTATAAATGTCTTGCCATCCAAATGTTAAGGTAGGACTTTACTGCCTAAATGTTTGACTAGTTCTTAACAAGCTGTAATCTTTATGTGTAAGGGCATAAAGTTGAAAACTATTGGTATGTTTGGAAAGTTTTTATACTAAAAGACTGAAATTGGTGAGAGAACTCAAGTGAATATAATAAGCATTAGTACAAATTAATTTACTTCATAATGAACGACAAAAAGTTCATAATTTTTTGTGCAATGTAATATTTATAACAAGAAAATACGAGACTTTCCTTTTTTGTATGTACCAATAGTTTTATGTTTAAACACTCATTTGTACTTGATTAATGGCCAAATAATAGGTGGCAATCAGATTTTTATCAAAAATTAAAACGCTAATTCAAACAATGGCTATGAAGTGAAAAAGTTTTCAAAACACTTACACTACAGCAACCTACCTCATGTCTCTATTAAACTCCTGTACTGGGTTGTAAAAAACATCATGTGAACTGGGAAATAATACTTCAGCTTTTCCCTCAGTAACTACTGTATATGGTGTTTTGTCTATAAACACTGATGACCTTTCAGGGTCGATTGTATTGAGCTCGGAGGAAATACAATTATACTGCACATCATCCAAGGCAGAGCAAGCTGAAGATAAAAGTATTACTAATATTATTACTGGTAAAGTTTAGTGTAGTGTTAATATATTACTAATACTATTACCAGTTACACTTACAGATTAGGGTAACATATGTTTTAGACGCTTCGAATATATCCATTATTATCGTTAAAGAAATGAAACCTATAAAACACTTATTAATAATCAATGTAGAATTATAATAATGTCATTACATGTTAATGTACATTACTATACAATGTTATTAGTAATACTAATTTCTTACGCGAACGGTAAACTTAAGAAGTTTTTCGAATACATAACACCAGTTGCATAGTAGTCAGATACTGTGCAGTTTTAATTTAACATTTGAAAATACTTTTTAATATTAAAACTGAATCAGACAAGTGACAAAAACTGTGCCTAAATATTGGGCGCTGCTCATTTATGGCAAATTATGCTTTAGCTTACGCTCACAAATTACACGTGCCTAGACTAAGACTATGACCTCCTCACTCAGTGGCTCACAGACAAGTCTGAAGGCTATATTATATTTACAACGCTTAAAAATGGGATTCGATACCTGTATTGGGCACAACAAAGATTGCCCATTTTGTAGTTTTGCTCTAAATAACAAACAAACTTACATTGTGTCACATTTTCGCACATTCTACCAATTGAATTATTTCACGATAATACAGCTGTTTTAACAAAATGTATAGACCCACTATATAACAAAACACTTTACAACACGTGCTCTCGACATCGGCAAGTTAAGGGATTATTGCAAGAATAAGAACAAAGTGAAATTTTACATTTCTTTTTCCTCTCGTTGTATTAAACTTTATCATGCCTGGATGATTGCATAATTGAAATAATATATTAATATTATGTTATATATATAATAAAGTATTAAGGCTTATTATATTTGCTTCTTTTTTAAAAACTACATTCTTTATTCAGTCCCTTGTCTGCCATGTGGCCGAATATTATTATACATTTTTCGTCTTTTTGAGGCCAAGCATGGCTTTGTATTATGACACTAAACTCACAACCTGTGGCATCGAAACCGGTCATCGCACATGCTCGCCCTTTCAGAGCCGTGGGGGCGTTATAACGTGACCATCAATCCAATATTCCATGATAAAAAGTGCACCAGCAGTTGGCAGTGGTGACTTCCTTCTAGTCTATCACTTCAAAATTAGGAAAGGCTAGCGCAGACTGCTTTCAAGTAGTTTTCTGCGAAATTTAAAAAAAATATATTCTTCTTGACAACTGAATTCTTATTGACTGAATAAGAATGTATTGTATTGAAATATTGTAGCTGTAGAACTAGTTTCAATCAACATACTACAAGGCTTCCCATCAACAACCCCGTGAACTGGTTTCTTTAAATAATGAACCCTTTAACTCTTTTGGGGAAATGGGGTATTCTCAGTTGAGCTTTGCCTTGTAAGTCCAGCTAATGCCCTTTCTCAAAATCTGGTTCACCCTTTGTTGTTCCATCAATATGGTTGAGCTCAAAGGTCTATCCTTGGGGGTATTGTCTCTTTGCTGTTTGAACAGCTGTTGATTCCTCACGATCGTGGCTGTGATGGTCAGGTTTTCCACATCTGTAACAGTTTCGTCTTTCTGGTAGCCTTTGAAAGAAATTTTTATTCCCTACAGGCTTTTATCTGCAGTTCCTGGCAATACATCCTTTCAAGCTACACTTGAAACACCTATTGTCTTATGGTGTGTTTCCTCCATTCTGTGTAACTAATTGCCTAACTAATCTTTTCAGTTCTTCTACATTACCGTAAGAAGCAGTTGATGATTCAGTACTACTCGACATGATTATCCTATCACCATATCTTCTAGATGGTGCCCTTAGTTGTTCATCTGTTACATCGCCAACTGAACAGCTTCAATTAAAAATTGATTACTTTACTTCAATATAATTTTTATATCCTCGCCTGTTTTGGCATCTGTAAATTGATCATGTACCAAAAAAATCAATCATTTTAAGTAGAGAATCTGTGTAATATAGCTGGACAAGCCTTATGAAATCTTCTGCAAATTCTCTTATTTCCTCCATACCATGTTCTGGAAATTTGCTTTGTATATATCTTTCTGGTGTGCCACATTGAACCTGTTGTTACAGCTCTCAGCTTGAAGATTACTTAATGTTATTAAATCTGGTTAAATTGGTAACAAAAAGAATAACTTGTTGTTTACCATTCTAACTGCTCACTTGGGAAATTATTTTGAATTAGCCTGATATGCCTCTCATTGTATATTTACATCATAGTGCATTTGTTTTTCAATCAGACAGTATTATGGAATTGGCCAGCTGAATTCTGGAACTGTATTTGGCAGTGACATGGCTGTGATTGTTTATCAAAGTCCCTAAGTGAAATATGGCACAGCAAAAGTGGAAATAAGTGTAGACCAAAGACTTCTCCTGTTCCATACTTTACAGCGAATGATTTTTTAGGTTAGAATTATTGGGCAGATGCAGAAAGAGATGTGTCTGATTTAATCTTTGCAGTTGTCAATTCGTTGTCCAGATATTTCATTCTGTCAGTGATGTTCTTTTCTAACTAAATGGTCTCTTTTTGTATTTCTTCAATTTTCTCATTACAGCCTGTCCATACTTCTTTGATATCCTTCTGTATTTTTCAGTCTTATTATCGTAATTTTTCTGTACATCTCTACTTGCTTGGGATAAAAAAAAAATGGAAACGAGAG